CCGAAACCCCCCCCCCCCCCCACCCCTTTGGCTGGCTACGGGCCTGTAACGAATTTGCGGGATATGGGTTAATTTCCGGGAGATTCTTGCTTGCTTGCGGAAGTGTGGGAGGACGTCCCGATTTCCGGGAGGCTCAAGTCCCGGGAGACTTGGGACCCCAGGCGCTCTTACAAATGCCGACGACAACAGTGTCCATTGCTCCCAAATAGACACGAAAACATGCCTTAGATCTGAATAGATGGCATGTAACACATTAATTCATCATTTTAGTTTGATTGACATTAGTCAAATTCAAATGAACGACAACCATCATCAGCATATTTTAAGACACATTTATAGAACTTAAAGAGAAGAAAAGTCCACTGAGTAATCTCAGATAAGAAAGTATAATAGACCTACACCTCGTGTTGGGATTCAATATTTCCGACATTAATTATATTGTCATCAACAGGAATGAATGAAAAATTCCTGATGATGACATAATTAATGTAGAAATATTGAATCCCCAACACAATGCGTGCATTTCAGTACTTGGCTCGAGTAGGGGTATGTATAAATTGCTTTTTCTTAACAGAACTTGACTGTTGTCATTGTATAATCATTTAAAATCAATATTTATAATAATAATAATAATAATAATAATAATAATAATAATAATAATAATAATAATAATAAATAATAATAATAATAATAATAATAATAATAATAATAATAATAATAATAATAATAATGATATAGAAATTTAACAGAACTTGACTGTTGTCATTGTATAATCATTTCAAATCAATATTTATAATAATAATAATAATAATAATAATAATAATAATAATAATAATAATAATATAGAAATTTATATAGCGCCTTTTGCCAAAGAATACAAGGCGCTAAGAAAAAGGTTTATTGTAAGAAAAATGATTAGGCCTATTTAGGAAATAAGTGTGCTTTTAAGAGATTAAACATACCACCATAAGAGGATTGACTTCAATCGTCTAAATCATTTGTTAGATTTCTTTTTGTTGTTTTGTATTCACTTGTGTTTTTTGCTGAATAAAGAATGAATGAATGATGAAGGCTGATGCTGGGCATAGTGGATTGAAATGCCATGCGTGCGCCTATTCAAGTAATCATACGCCTAGGCAGCCGGCCCTGGTTATTACGCGTGAGCTGAGAGAGGTCGTGGCTAAATTACTTCCATAAAATCGCTACATTGTCCCTTGTTTTCATGCAATCGTTATATTGCGTCGGCCTGTCCCCGAATTCGACCGACCATTCAACTTACGTGCTGTCGGCGACAATAAGATTGTGTGGTTAATTAAATATTATGGAAAACGCGGCTTTAAATAAGCTAATATAATAAACAAGATAACTTTATTGTCCCAAAGGAAATTTAATTTGGATGTCAATATAATGAAGATGATCGTGATAATCAGGATTATTTTGATTATGATGATGAATTTGAAAATGAATGTCCAATAACAATTGCAGTCTTAATGTATTTAATGCTTGCGGTGCACCACGTAGGCCTAGATAGCTCTGAAAAGAACTTCTTTGTTGAGAATGTCTCGAGGTTTCGATTGAGTTGCTTAATCGGGTATTGAGTATTTTTAGAGAATCCAGACAGGGAAATACTTATCTGTAATGTTTAGATAGTGAGGGTGAGACTTGCTGCTGAAGTGGAAAAATAAACAATAACTGAAACTTAGTGAATGAATTTGAATTTAGTACCCAGAGAATGCGTTTTGATATTATTTTTCCTTATAGAATTATGAATTTTAATTTCGATTGTTCATTAGTTACTTACTAGGGAAATTTCCATGTGCCCTAGCAGTACCCGAAATAGAGGGCTTTTTTAAATCCACCCTTTTGACGTGTTGATGTTACCCGTATGTATAGAGGTCTATTTAAGCGTTTGTGTGATACATATAATGATTTCAGTATTACCGATCTCGACATATTTTTTGACAGTTTAAGCACTTTTAAGTCCAAATTATTAGGATGTTTTAGCTTTATATATGTGTTTTTATTCTGTTTTATTTGTTTATTTTTTGTGCGTGTTATCTAGTATATTATTATATTTATTTGATGTTAGCTTTTAATTGGAGGGGGTTTTTTTAATTTCTGAGTTGGTATGAAAATAAAAATAAAAATTAAAAAGTACAAAGTTTTACGGTATTGTATACTGAGGCGCTTATATGGAAATCCTCCTCCCCCATTTAGATTGAAACAAATTTGAAACCGTGTTTTTAATTACTTTGATGCGCCAGTGATGACAGCGTCGTTGACTACTTTGGCATTTCATATTTAACGCATGATCAGCCTGTTGTTAAAATCCAGAGGGCGTAACTGTAACAAAATATTTTCCGTGTTTGAGGAGCTTGGAATGCAATTATGGAGGGTTTTGGTGGTGATTCCTGGTAATTATCTTGCTTAAAGTATATCACAATTTAGGACTTACTTAGAACTACTTAATGAGAAAACATCTAAAGTTTTATTAGGCCGTTGACTAGCCTGCCTAACTAGCTAGGCCTAGGCTAGTAGGCCTATCTAGGTAGGCCTAGGCTACGCTTGCCTAGGCTGCTGCCTCTCTCAACAGAGGAACACTCCAACTAGGCACTAGGCCTAGGCTTAGCCTAAACTAGCCTATGTAGGCAGGCCGGCTGCTAGGTTAGCTAGGAGCACACAAAAAATGATATCCTTCAATTGAATTGACTTCAAATAAATATAGTTTCACGTAATTCAATGGAAAGTGAGTAATCTACGGTTTATTAGATGACAAAACTTGGTTGAATATTTACAGTCTTTTTAAGCTAGGCCTAGGTAATTTTAATAAGTATCAATTTTTCCATATTTTGCGCATGTTCGTTGGCTTATCTTGAAGTTCAATGCGTCACCATATGCATACACTGCACATACAGTCTAGCTAAACCTAGACATGGTGTCTCCTCTCTCAGCAAGCGTTCTGGTAGGCTCGCAATGATATATCACCAGCCTAGCGCTAGGCCTAGTAGTTTAGGGTAGACCTTGGTAGGATTATCAACACAGCCTGGCAAAGTGTCAACACGTCGGCTACTCTGCTTCTTGGGGTTAGGCATAAAATAGCCAAGCTTACTTGGCTAGGCCTAGTTCGGGCTTAGCATGGCAGAAAATTAACAGTGGTCCAAGAATGCTAAGAGCTAAGCAACTTTCGGGTCTGGTATACTGTCGCATTTATTTAGTAGAAAGTTAGTATTTTGCTAACCTACTTTAATTTTTGTCATTTTGTTTTCTTGAGAATTATTTTATACTTTCAGGCTTCGAGAACATGAGGCATGTATACGATTAGCAGCAGAAATAATGGAGAAAATTAATGAAAGAAATGAATTACAGCGAAATGGAAAAAGCTACTCAAGAGTAAGACTGGCTTAAATTAAACCTTATTTCTGTAGGCTTTGGTAAAAAACAATTATATTGATAAATCTTTTGTTGAATATAATAATACTACATATTTATACCTTGTGTTTTTGGAAATATAATAATACTACATTTTTGTACCTTGTGTTTTTGGATATTGCTTTACAACTCTGTAATAACATGAAAGTATTGTTGTTTTTGGATGTACTTTATTATTAAAAGCATACTGGGAAATAACCCCCTGAAGTTTCCTTTGTTTAAAGATTATATAGTTGTAGTTAAATATAGAATCAGGATGAATAAAAGGTGTAACTGTGTGGGTCTACTTTAGAACAATATAAAAAATGACAGAACTTAGCAAGACTTAACTATAGGCCCTATACATTTATTCTTTCTCTAGCTTAGTTCATCATTCTATTTTCAAGTTCCAGTTGAGGGCTACTTAAATACAAAAAATATGCATTTGGGTGTTGAAGTCTTTTACTGTATATAGTATCTTCACAGACAGTGTACCTAATGTTTGATAAAAGTACAGAACACTTTTTTTTTGGTTTACTTATGAAAATTAATTTCCTATAAGTTTACCACATCTAACAAATTACCTTCCACATTCCTCTCCTCTTTTTGCCATTTCAAATATATGCCATATTCTAAGAAATACCTGTATGTAATTTGATTTTTTTTTTGTCTACAGGTGAGTGCTAATATCCGAACATTGCTCAAACGATTTTCCCAAGACATTGAATCATTGAAGAAGAAACTCTACAAGGCTGCCTCAACTTACCATCTGTATCTTTTTCTGTCCTTTATTTTGCTGTATGTCAAGCCCCACAGCTGCCTAATTGGCCTGCTTATTAAGCAGTCCTGAGTCTGAAATTTGGAGCTTGGTATCTTACTGAACTCTAGGAATTTCTTTCTTGATTCTAAGCCTTAGCATAACTTTGTTAATGGATTCCATAATGTTGTATTTTATGGTGTGTATTTAAGAGGGTGGTTAGACCAGTGGCACTCCAGGGCAGATTTAAACATATTATTACCAGAGGCAGTCACAACTTTTTTTTCTCAGTACTCTGGATATCCCCATCCCAAGAATTTTACTCAATAATAATTTATCTCCTATTGTAATTACATACTACCTATCTCTCCAAGTTGCTAGAAAAAGGTGTATTACACTTGATGTTGACCTTGACAAGTTACCTAGGACACAACAAGAAGCTGAACGGAGGCAGAGGTTGATAGATGAGCTCTTAACGAAAGAAAGACAGCTGGATGACGCATTCACAAACCAGTCCCGTTATTCAGCACCAGAGAGGTAGGAATTTAGGATTATGTATGCCACATACTGTACCAATTTATGAAGCTCAGGGCTGTAGGCTGATTTTGGCCTGGGAGGGATGGGGGTGCGAGGGATAGGGGTGCAAAAGTTGAGAGTTGGATTTATTCTGTGTAAACACCAAGGATAACCCACGAAAGAAGACTTATTTCCAGTGGGGTCCTTCCTTTGGTGATTGAGCTATACACCAGGAGACAATCCCCTACTTTTTTCCGCATAGTGTACTACGTACTTTAATGTGCACATGGGCCATAATGCACACAGGACCAAGAGCTTAAACATCTCATCTGAAAGACGGTGCGCTGTCATAACTTGCATTTCACCACTCCAGCTGAAATACTAGTTGAGCAGCGATTTGAATTGAACCGGGGATCTAGAGATCTGCAAAGTTCAGCGCACACACAGTGGCTACCATCAGTTTAGCCGACTGAGCTAAGCTGCTCTCTCTAAATGGTTCGTATACCATTGAAAAAAATTAATGGTCATTTATATTAATACATCCAACTTAGTAGAACTAATTTGCTGCCATGGTGAGTGTGTCTGCTTTAATTCCTCCCATTTCCATGCTGACAAATTGAAGCACATTGTAAAAAATACCTGACTGAGTAAGTCTATGTTCCCAAGAAAAGGGTCGTCTTTATTTTCTATATATTCTATACACCTGTTCACACTTGGATTGAAATACACAGTAGGTTTTACTGAGATTGTCTAAATCTTTACCCAGTTCACTGAAAGAAAATGCTTTTCCTCATTAATAGGAGTGGTCTTATGGCATCAAGTACGGCTGGTTTTGGTCATGATCTTTGGGAAGATGAGACAGAACAGACCAGAGGAATGAGTGTTGCTGACATCAGGAGTCAGCAACAGCAGGTAATTGATGGTAAGAACAACTTTTTATTATTCAAAGCTAAACCAACACCAAGTTAGTGACTTTCACCAAAGAGTATAAATAGAACAAGAGAGCGTACTCTCGTTTGTAAATACGTCACTCCCCATCGTTGTTATGGAGTGTGCCCACTATGTACGAGTTTACAGGAAGTGTGTGATAAAGGAAAATAAGGAAATTTATTGCCCTCTACGAAAGTATTGTATATCGTGGAAAACAAACCATGCACAGTGCAGTACTGGGTAATAAAAAGCGTATAAACTGCAGCGGGCTTCCTCCACTGGCTGCGTATGGCTTATCATTTTTTAACGCTCTGAATGCTGAATGAACGTAGTAGGCTCTCTTGTTTTATTTATACCCTTTGCTTACACTGAACTAATGCTCAGTCCACACTATCTGTAACGGTTCATAACCATTCTGTGTTTTTTTCGCAATCACAGCGCAATTCAAGCGTAGCCTAGGCCTAGGGCCTTAACTTTGGCCTACTAGTACTATATTCTGTTCTCTTCTCTCATCATGCTTCTCAAAGTTTTATTAGTATATATGTATACTTTTGGAAATTGAAAATTGTAGCCGAAAATACTTCCTTTGTTGCCCAGAAGTGTTGGGTTATTTTGTGATAGGACCTATTGTTTATGACCCAAAGGTAGGCCTACACAAAATCCCGAAACCACCAAAGTCAAAGCACCGACGTTTTGATACCCCAAAATGAGACGCATCCTATCATAATTTGCTGTCTTCAAATGTCACGAAAATGACACGTACATATTCAAAGATACATTTATTTTGTACACTTACGTAAAATGTGAAAAAAGAAACAAAGGTCCTACTAGAAATCCAAAAATTCCCTATGCATTTTTCACTTACATGTAGTGAGCGAGATATGTATGTCGTCCACACGTTTAGCGGATAGCAGCCGGCGTATGACGTCAAAATGATGACGTATCCGTCACGCTAACCGTACGCGTTCGCATGCAAGACCTCCCTATTATTATAACTATATCACATATATGCCACACCTGAAATTGAATGTTTGTCAGATTTTGTAAAGATTATCTTCTTAAACTCAGTGTTTCCAAGACCAAAGAAATGGTTATTGATTTCCGTATAAAATACAATAAGGAAACTAGAAATATCATCATTGATGATAATCCAGTGGAGAAGGTATCCAGTTATAAAGTTCCTTGGAGTAGAATTTGGTAAATTAAATTTCTCGGAACACATAGAATTTATTTATTTATGTTATTTCAACAATATTTTGTGAGGGTGGTCCATCCAGCCTGAGCTGATCAATTGGGACCCTTAGTACATACAATTAAAACATAAGTATAAAAATTAAACTTGATCTTTAACATAAGCAAATTAATTAAATTAGACCAGGAAAAAATTAATGATAATAATAATAAAAATCAGAAAAAACAGAAAAAACAGATATAGGCCTACAGTATATAAATTATATAAAATAATGATTTAAGGAAAACATTAAACTAAAAAAAAATTTTTTTTAAATTGACATATTGGACAGAAAAATAACTAAAATAAAAAATAAATCAAAAAAATTAATGAGAAGATAATAAATTGAACTAACAAAAATAGAAAAATTATAAAAGATAAATAATTTACAATTTAAAACAGAACAAAATCACGATTACAAATATTGCAACAAAAAGAGATGGCCAAAGGGAAAATTACACAAGATTGGATGAAAGATAGCTAAGAAGGTTGGATTTGAAAGAAGAGAAAGAGAAAGTAGAACGGACAAAATCGGTGGAAGAGAGTTGTAGACGTAAGGAGCTTTATAGCTGAATTGTCAGGAAGAAACTAAATACTCGCATGTATTGCCTTATGAAAATGAATGCATTCAATGTTAATACTAAAATCATTACCATGTTCTATTCATCTGTAATTTGTAGGGTATAGAACTATTGTTTAACAGGTTGGGGAGGTAATGTGTGTCAATGTGATGAAGAATTAATAGACCGTTTGATCAGAAAAGTCAGAATTAGAATTAGAATTACAAAGACACATCTGCCTTCAATTGACTCTGAATATCACAATTTGGTGACTGAGCTATTCCGTCATATTGTGAATGACGAAAGTCAATCCGCTTCATGATATGCTTCTTGGCTCAGTTAACCCCTAGGAGTGGTTGTATGAGTGTACCGATTGCAAACATAAATAGATATCGTAATTCATTTATCACTAAGGGTATAAAATACTTCAATGAAAATCATGAAAGATAGATAATAATTACAATATTGTAATAATAATAATAATAATAATAATAATGGTGATAATGATAATAATTATAATAATGATGAAAATGATAATAGTAGTTATTATTATTATTAAAAAATAATAAAATAATAATAATAATAATAATAATGAATGAATGATTTTTCCTCTTGAATAGTTTCTCCTTTTTAAAATGTGTAACCCTTTTTTGTTCTCTTCTAACATTTTTCATTATCTTTAAATATTGTAGGCCTTCTATAATTTTAAATTTTTCTATGCTTTTTGATGGAATTTTGATGTTGATTCTTTTTTTTTTCCTTAATGTGATTTTCTTGGAATTGTTCTTTTTACGAGCATTGCAATTTCTTTATTTATTTTAACTGGAGACAATAAATTTTATCTTATATCTTGTACTTGCACAATGCAATAATCTAAAGGTCTGTTCACACTTCATGCGACAGGTAGTGTGAATAGCTTATATGTGGACATAATTATTGTCATCAATTGAAAGTACAAAATATCAGAACTGTGTATTTAGTCTGTATTTATATAGCTAAAAACTTTACATCTAAAACATTTCAGAGTAGCATATCACTATCCAGGTCTCATGCTTACATTGACTAAGTAGGGAAAAGTCACAGAAAATGGAAAAATTAAAGTCATATACTTTCAATTTGTAGAGCAAGATCGAGGCTTAGAAGCCCTATCAAGTGTGATAGCAAGACAGAAACAGATGGGCCATGACATTGGCAACGAATTAGATGAGCACAATGGTAAGTCCAGATTATTATTATAAAAATTTAAAATCGTATTTACTTGTGGTTTGCCATAAACACTCTCGTTACAGGGTTTTCTGTAACTATTTACAGAATGTTTCTCCTGTGGGCATGGAGTACTAATTGTGGTCGAGTTTGAAGGGTTGGGATGTTTCCTTCACTATTGTGGGGTCCATCACGCTCCCTCCACCCTCTTCTTGTTTTCTTATATTCACACTTGGAGATTGTTTGATGCTGTTAGGGGTGGGGTGAATGATTACCTGCTTTGCCACCCCTAAATCCCTCACTCAATAGTACGTAGTGCAAATTGAAATGCACTGGTTCACAATTGGGTGTAAAGGCCAACACAGACAGCGTTTTACGACGCAGCCCAACGGTAGCAGTCTTTATGTTGGCAATGGAATATTAAACATGTTTAATGACGCGACTTTCCCCGACACATACATATCGTGTCACTGTTTAACCCCCGACGCGACTGGTAAGGGAATATATTATCGTTCAATTGAAAGTAATAACATAATTGTGTAACTGATTTAGATATTGAGTCTTAGATTAATCTATATGTGTGAATTTTCCTTTCCCTTTTCTCCGGATACAGTAGTTAGAAGACACTCTTTAAACATTCTTGAAATAAATTTTTTTTAATTAATTTTATTTTCAGGCTGCAGGAGTCATAATTTTTCTTAATGTTTTTTTTTTTTTGATTGTCAACTGTTTTGCCAAGGCTTAAGATTTTTATTCTTTTCATATTCATTATGTTGTTGATTTTTGACTGATGTGTTGTTTTTGTATGTTGTTACTTCTTTGTAGACGACTTTGGCCTTTCAACAGTTTACTTTATTTTAAATTGAAAATGAAGTGAATAAATGTAAAAGTGAATACAAAGTGATCATCTTTATGCTTTGTATTTTGAGCGAGTAAGCACTAATGCTGTCTTGTTATGATATTCAATTCATGTTGTATTTTTAACATGTTTTCATTTTGGCTAATGCCTCATCTTTTGCACATTTGACCTTTTCCTTATGTTTGTATACATACATTAATGTGACTTCTATTTGCTTAGAAATCAAAACATTAAATGCTGAAAACCATTTAGATAACAATATGAGATTGTTTCTATACTAAAAGGTAATATATTGGCATATCACTACTATATAATTTACCATTTAATCTAGTTGGTTAGTCAATTTTAAAAGTTTTTGAGCTTAGCAATTTTACATGCAACTCATTTAAAGTGTGGGTGTGTATTATTATAGGAAATATTATACTTACTATGCTCTTTTAACAACCTTTGGTTGCCTTTTTGTGTCAGTTTATCTGCTATTGAAAAAAATTTGAACACGAGAACTATTGGAAGGTAGCATACTCGCAGAGGTGAACTCTAGAGGTCTAGAAAAAAACTAGCTACAGGCTTCCAAAATACTGGAAGAGCATGTCTCAAATTTGAGCAGGTCACATTGAAGTGAAAGCTTATGAGAAGCTCACATTCATCAGTATTTTATGTACAGCACTTTGGTTTGAAGTCTGTCAATGAAAAAGTCATACATAGCACCCTCTATAGTCCAAGTTTCTCAACTTTTCTTTAACTTCTACCTTAACATGTTCTCACCTTACATTGAGTGATCAATCATAGCAGGGTTTGACAATTTATATTTGTGTGATAAATAGAAAATGAATTTAAATATTTTATGAATGTCAGACTTGATAAATTTCATAAAGAAATTTCAAATCTGAAATTTGTCAAGCCAAATGCTATCTGTATTTTGTTAAAAAGAAAATATAATTAATATTTAAATGTCATTATTTGTATATTTTATATACTGATTAACTTTTAATTAAATATTATTATTTTTAAAAATGCTTCCTAGTTAACCAAAGTGAATATAGATTTTTTTCCTTAATGGCTTTGTATAAAATAATTTACTCGATTTGCAAGTTCTTTTATGGTATCAAAAAAATAAATGGCCTGTACATTTCTGATGTTGCTGACATCACAGAAAGATATCCCCTGAAACATATGTTTCAATTGAGAAGCATTTAAATCCAATAGCAGGATATGTACAAATGCAATCAACTTTATCACTTGATCTGGTGTAATCCTCATTAATCGTAATATCTCACTCATGTTTTTCGTTTTCTCCAGTTTGGGTCAAAGGTGGAAGATTAAAATCTGAAATTCCCTGGATTGGTAAGAGATTAGGAATGAACCAATCAAAACAAGTCGATGTTTACTTTGTGCACTTAATAGATTCATAACTGGGTCAGGATTTTAATTTTAAAAAATCTACAAGCAACACTATGTGTTAGCTAAATGTTATAGGTGGAATCAGAATGTATAGGATTGTTAATTGTGTGATTGCTACTTTGTTTAGCCCGCCCTCCATCACCATATAAAGTATGTACATATGTGATTATTGTATGTATAGCGCCTGAATGCAATTCCCCATACAGCCGCCATTTTGTTAATGATAGATATTCACAATTATTTAGGTTCTTTACAGTATCTTTACTTTTGAAGCCTAAACTCCGTCCAGATTATCAAATTTTCTTTAACAAAAAATGTTGTTTGCCCATATATAGTCATGATGTGCTTATATATGGTCATGATGTGATGTCATCATGACCATATTTAGGCATGTCACATGTTTGTGTCAAATTAAAGTTGGTGGTTTAGACCAGGCTTAAGTCATTGGTTGGCTAAGTACTAAGCTCTGTCCTCACAATCAAATTTTATGTGACAAAAAATATGTGATATTGCCATATTTGGGTATAATATGACATCATCATATACGGACACGTCACACAAATTTGGCACATAAAATTGTATAGTGTAGACTAAGCTTTAGAATGCTTTTCAACCATGAACATAGATAGTTATAAGTTATCATTAGGAAGCTTTCGATTGCACAACGACGGTAGGACGTAGAACGTAATGACGTCACTAAAAGTCATCTGCACATGCGAGAACGTTAAGGTCACCTCGTTGACTAGATTCTGGAACGCAATTTGGCCAAATCTACATATGTGATTCCGTTCTAGTGTCGCGTTGTCGCACAAATCGAAAGCTCACTATTGCAAGCTGTAAAGCCCTGTCCAGTCTATCAAATTTTATGAACATGTGACATGCCTAAATATGGTCATGATGACATCACATCATGACCATGTATAGGCATATCATGACTATATATGGGCATCCACATTCAACTAAGCTAGTCATCCAAATCATACTCTGGGCTTAAGCACAGATAAATATTGGTACCTTAAATCAGAAATAAAGTTGCTGTGGACTTATACTGGAAGTAAGCTTATACCCAAGAAACTACTGTATTAATATATAAACTGTGAAATCCAGATCATATTAACTTAGATCTTACTAAGTTAGATGTAATTTATTTGTCTATGACATAGATTGCAGATTTGAAACTACAAGATGGCATATTGGAATAGATTGGTACTTTTGAATGTGTGGAATAAAGTAAAAATGAGTAATAATCATAGGTATAGTGAATTTGTAGGTAATTAGTTGTTCTTTGTCAGTAGTATGAATCTGATTATTCAATAGGCTATTTTTCTTGTGATTGGATTAATTACTATTAATCAACCAAGGTAGCAACATGTCATGTAGGCCTATGTGTATGACAAATACAAGGAATCTCAACTAATTAATAATAATAGAAAGCCAATACCTGATTGGTTAGTAATGAATCAGATGAATATTATTAATTACTTCACACTAGTAAACTATCAGTTGTGTCTATCTATAATTTACTAATCCTTGACCTTAAATTCTAATCTTTCTCATCATTCCAGGCTGGAATGTCCTGAGGCCATAACTGTTCGCAACCATGGTCCTGAGTAGCCTGTAAGGAACTTTCACTGGCGCTAATAAATCTTCCATGCTTATCCTCCCGTGTCAGGGGCTACAGTTAGGCTCAGATCAATCCATCTGCAATGAGATTTTGGCGCCTTTTCTAATTGCGCCACAAATTGAGCTGCGCAGCTGCTCTGAGCTGCTGATGAAGGAGAGGTCTGCGGAGACTCATTTGGCAATTGTTCTTCCCCTTCAGCAATTGACATTCATCTCAGGTCCTCTAGTGTATCGACTCCACGTTTAGATGTATAAATGTGCTGTAAATTCTATCATTTTGTCAGTAATGAGAATTGACTGTTGAACAAGGATTTTGACTAGCACTCAGATAAATCAAATATGTAGATTTTTTCTGAGGGACTGAACATGTTTTATTTACAAATGAATTCGATCCGAGTGACGAGAGGTGGTTTTGCATTTAAGTCCTTGGGAAGTGCCGGTTATTGTGTACCAATCAAACTTAATTTGTAAATGCTAGAGCAAATGATAAAAGATACTTTACATTGGAAAGATTGTGCTAGCAGAATGCCTTGGGCTAGTGAGTTTCTTGATCAAACTTGACGTGGCCCTGTAGATTAGTGTAAACTTCGCTTGTGAATATGTGAAATCAAGACAATGATTTCCTGAATATCTCAACTGTTATCATTTTCATTAGCCTGGTTTATTTGCCTTGATTTAGTTGAGAACAGGAATTGCTGTTAGAAAAAATTCTATTTTTTTATAACACTTGGATAATCTAGACAGAGGAGTATATACTGTATCTTTATGTTAAATAGGATATTTTTGTATTTTTCAAGAAAGGTCATTCTGTTAGAAAAAATTCTATTTTTTTATAACACTTGGATAATCTAGACAGAGGAGTATATACTGTATCTTTATGTTAAATAGGATATTTTTGTATTTTTCAAGAAAGGTCGTTAATTGAAACTCATGCCATGTTTCTTCTACTCATTAAATTTTTATTTAATTTTAATCTTGTTAATTATGAATAAAGTCAACCCACTGAACTAGCAATCGTACTCCATGGAGATATTCATTGATGGTAAATTATTGATTAAGCAAGTAATATTAAAATATCAATTAATTATTCAAAACATTCAAGCATACGGTATCTATGTACCTTGAAACA